CAGGGTTCAGATCTCAGTGCCAACCTCTTGCCTAGCTGGAATCCCTTGAGTTAGCTGCTTTGTTTCCCTGTACCTCAGTTTCTTCCTCTGAATATTTTGATGACACAGCTGCAGGCATTAAATAACTCGAATATATATCACTCATAGCAACAAAATGTATTTTAGGCTATTATATCTTAAAAGGCTTGAAACCTGTGTTGTAACATTGTGTACTTTTACCTTCCCAGCATTTATTGCAGTTTGAGCTACCAACTCATGCAACAATTTAGTTAAATACCTCTTTCTACTCTTAGATTCCTGAATGGAACCTCCCTAGCTTTGTCCTTCACTGAATTATGGCCACCTAGAGTACACCATACACAAGATAAATATTCACTGGATGAGTCTGTATACTTAGGAAGAATCTCTGTTGTCTAAAAGTTTTCTGAAATGAATAGGATTAAAATGTTTTTTCAGTTAGGAGTCAGTTAATCTAGACTATTGCTCTACAATTCAGAGCCCATCCACATGGCTTGACGCTGGATAGATGAAGTCATGTAATCACGTAAACAGTGGGGTTGATGTTAATGGTGATTCATGGAAATTGGCTCCTTTGCATCCTAATTTTCCCAAATATTTTTAAGAGCAGAGATGCATATTTTTTTTGGGGTTGGAGGGAACATTATATATTCAAACCATAGCAGTTTATGGAAAGCCTTATAGGCTGGGTCATGACTCAGTCAATGGTGAAATTCTTTCTTAGTGTGTGCAAAACTAGGCTCCAGTGCCCAGAGCTGTTAAATATGCCTTTATACAATTTAAAAGTGACTGCTTAAATAGAGTTTGGTTTTGAAGTAATTGATGCCAAATTGCATTTTCCACCTCCCCAGAGCTAGCCTGGTAATGGTACCCAGCCAAGAAGATTGAAATACAGATATTTGGCATTAACCATTACATCCTTTCCTTTTACTGTAGCAAGGATACATGCATCCCATCTGTCCAGTAATTAAACTAACCAATTTAAATATTTAGCTTAAATATTTATCTTCATTTATTTTAAAAATGATTTGTGTTTATTTTATGTGCATTGGTGCTTTGCCTGCATCTGTGTGTGAGGGTGTTGGATCCCCTGAAACAGGAGTTATGTACAGTAGTGAGCTGCCATGTGGGTGCTGGGGATTAAATTCAGGTCCTCTGGAAGAGCAGCCAGTGCTTTTAACAGCTGTGTTACCTCCCCAGGCCCATACTTCTTTACTTTTTCTTTGAGACAAGGTGTCACTGTGTAGACTAGGGCAACCTTGAACTCAGAGATCTGCCTGCCTCTGCCTCTCTGGTACTGGGATTAGAGGCAGGATTTTGGTGTGTGTGTGTGTGTGTGTGTGTGTGTGTGTGTGTCTATGTCTGTATGTGTGTGTCTGTGTACACATGGACGTGTGTGCGCGCACAGGTGCCTCAGATGTCAGAGATCCTGGCGGTTGTGAACCACTTGATATGGCTGCTGGGAACTGAACAAAGATCTCCTGTAAGAGCAGTGCATTGTGTTTTTAACCACTGAGCCATCTCTTTAGCTCCTACTTTAAAAACTTAAAAGGAATAATTCTGTGAGGATACTTTCTGGCCATGTTTAAATTGGAATCAGTTTTTATGTGCATGTGCTTTAGAACTAGCAGATTAACCTCTGGAGTCCTGTAAGTTAGCAGATGAAAGCCAGCATGAGTGAGGTGCTGCCGTGGGCATCAAACACTGGTAGAGGGGAGAGAGAGCATGATTTTATTTTATGTGCATTAGTGTTTTGCCATGGGTTTCAGGTCCCCTGGAACTGGAGTTTGTGAGCTGCTGTGTGGGTGCTGGGAACCAAACCAGGGTCCTCTGGAAGAGTAGTCAGTGTTCTTAACCACTGAACCATATCTCCAGCTCCTAGAGCATCTTTTTAAAAAGGAATTATTGGTTACTTTCCTTATGGCCATGATGAAATACCTGACAAAAGCAACTTGAAGAAGAAAGGGTTTATTTTGACTTAGGATTGTGGGTACAGTCGGTGATGTTGTACCCAAGTCAGGGCAGCAGGAGCCTGAGGCAGCTGGTCACATGGTAGCTACAGTTGGTGCTCACCTCAATTGCTGCTTTTTATCGTCCTGTTCCCGCCTGCCCAGGCTGGGATTGCAAGCACAAACAGCTGGACATGGCTTTTAATGTGCTTTTTTAGGGGTCATCTCCTAAAGCTTGCACAGCCAACACCTTTCCAGCTGTCTCCTGGCCTTCTTTCCCAGGAAGACCTAGCCTTCTAGGTCTTTAGTAGATGAATAGCAGTGGTGGGCTAAGGTCAATCTAGAATTAACATGTTTGTAGAGAAGTGTCCTGGCAAGTAACTACAGAAACCATCTAAATGAAATGTTGGGGCCAGTGAGATGGCTTAGTAGGTAAAGGTGCTTGCTGCCAAGCCTTAGGACCTGAGTTTGATCCCTGGGACCCACACAGTGGAAGGAGAAAAACCAATTCCCACTAGTTTCCCCTGCAATCATCATACTCATGCTGTGGCCCACGTGTGGGTGCCCTCCCCCGGTATACACAAAATAATTTTTTTTAAGAGAAATTTGTATTGATATTTAGAGTTTGATGTTCTTGGATAGAGGTTCTAGGACTTTCAGCATCATTCCTTATACTCTTAAAGCTTTTGGGGGACCCCCCCAAAACTTGTGTCACATGACCTCTGTCTTAGGGTAACTCTTACAAAGAAAAAACAACTAATTGGGGTGGCTTACATTTTCAGAGGTTCAGTCCATCATTATCATGGTTCGACACAGTGCTGGAGAAGTAGCTGGGTCCTACATCTCTACTTGTAGGCAATAGGAAGTAGTCAGAGACACTGGGCTTGACTTGAGCATATATGAGACTTCAGAGCTCACCTCCACAGTAACACACTTCCTCCTACAAGATCACACCTACTCCAACAAGGTCACACCTCCAAATAGTGCCATTCCCTTTTTTTTCAAACAACCACATTTTCTTTGTTTGTTTTGGTTTTTGTGTGTGTGGGGGGGATTGAGTTTTGTTTATTTGTTTGTCTTGTTTGTGTAGTCCCGGTGGACCTAGAGCTCACTATTTAGACCAGGCTGTTCTTGAACTCACGAAGGTCTACCTGCTTCTGCCTCCCGAGTGCTGGAATTAAAGGCATGAGCCTAGCACTTAATAATTAAATAATTAAATAATTAAACTGGTTGGTTTAATTATTAGGTCTTCATTACTTTAAAAATGAAAATATTGAGCGCTGGAGAGATGGCTCAGTGGTTCAGAGCACTGGCTGCTCTTCTGGAGGACCCGGCTTCTGTTCCCAGCACCCACATGACAGCTCACACCTGACTGTAGCTCGAGTTCTAGAGCATCCAACACCCTCATACAGACATATGCAGGAAAACACAGTGCACATAAAATAAAAATAAATTTAAAAAAATGAAAATATTGGTCCATTATTTATTAATGTAAATATCACATTAATATAATTATTTTCCAAAGGTAGAATGAATGAGATGAATATTTGCTTTTATTTCTGTGTATGTGTATGTTTGCCCACATGTACGTGCTTGTGCTCCATATACATGCAGTACCCGTGTAGGCCTGAAGAGGGTGTCAGGCCTCCTCAAACTGGTGTTACAGACAACTGTGAGCCACCCTGATGTGGGTATTGGGAGCTCAGTGCAGGTCCCTCTGCAAGAGCAGCCAGTGTCCTTAACCACTGAGCCATCTCTCTCCAGTCCTGGTGTTTTATAGTTGTGTATATCCCTTTACTCTGCTGTTTAACAGGGGAGTGTGTAGTGGTTCTTGCTTCTGCATTGATCCGGTCTGTTGGGAGTACTTCCCTATCTGATGGAGATTCAGTCTATCTCTCCACTTTTTCATAATTCTCCCTCTAATGTCTGTCTCTGTGATAAACAGCGAGGGCATTTTTAACTGGAGTCTCGGGAAGGTGTTCTTGGGTCCTTGTCTTTGTGTTGTGGAAGGCTTAGCTGAGGGAAGGGACACTTGGCTCTTCTTGATGTCTGGTCTCCTTTAACACGCAGGACTGCAGACACTGGGGTGGCTCTGTGACTGCCTGCTTAGTATAGGGAAGGGGAATGGACTCTAGAAACATCAACACTTCAAGATTTATCTCCACTTTGGAGATGCATGAGCCAGAAAACTGTCTTTGTGCTTCTCTGAGGCCTTGTGTTCCCCACACAAACAGTTGCCTATCCCGCCTTCTCCGGAACCAGCCCTAAGGAGCGGGCCGGTCGTATGGTACCCTGAGTCTTCAGGCCTCCACTCCTCTTTAAAGCCCACCAGACCTTTGATACTTTTCAGTTCATCCCGGGGCATTGGGGGTTAATCTGAAATGTCCTTTAGTATTCCTCCTTTTTCCACACATCCAGTGAACACAGGCGACCATTCTTTCCCTCTGTGCTTTGTGCTACATTGCATCACTTGCCTCAAATTAATGTAGTTTCCACTTTCTTTGGAATCCAATGGATTCCAGAGCCAATTCACAGACATAGTTTTTACCTGGATAGTTTATTATAGCTGAGAAAATATGATATTTTTAATTGTGTGTGTGCACACTCATGCTAGGGCTAGAGTTGCAAGCAATTGTAAGCTGCCTCCTGGTTTGGGTTCTGGGAATGGAACCCAGGTCCTCTGCAAGAGAGCCATCTCTCCAGTGCTACTTTATCTACACGGTCATTTTCCTCAGTTCTCCAGCACAGTTCAGCTTGTACTGTACATAACTGTTTTGAATAATTATTTTTCCTTCAGTTATCTATTTTCTCTCTAATAGATGGTTTCCTAAGATTATGTTTAGAGTTTTAAATTCTAGGAAAGACTCCCCACATTGTGCCCTCCCCCCCTTTTCAAATTATTCATGAAATCATCTTTGTACTAAAATTACATCGACCCGAGCAGGAGTTCAGATCTGCTAAACTGTGCCACATAGTGCCATTGCTGAATGTGCTGCTGTGTGCTTGTTCTGAATTTGTTCCATTTTGTCACAGCTATTTCTGCGTTTGAAGTCCATCCAGTTTCTACTGAAGTCCGCGAAGGGGGAGTGGCTAGATTTTCTTGCAAGATTTCATCAAACCCCCCTGCAGTCATAACATGGGAGTTTAATAGGACAACCCTGCCTATAACCATGGACAGGTAAATGTAGCATGTTTACTTGCTTGGATGTGGCACATAAGTGATGGAGACTTCATACAAAGCTTTCAAGGGGGTAAACATGATGAAATTCATTGTCATTTGGTGTGGCAATAACTGATTTCCTAAGGTACTTCAGACTTGGATTAACAGTCACATCGTTGGGACTGGAGGATAGATCAATGATTATAGCACTCCTTGATTTTGCAGAGGCTCACTTACCAGCACCCACACTGATGCTCACAGCTCCCTGTAACTCTAGTTTCACGGAGTCGGTACTTCTGATCTCCTCCCAACAGTACAGACATGTGATACTTGAACATATGCTCAGACACATGCACATACACACAAAGTAAATAAACATTTTTTTTTAAAGTTTGATTCCTGCTCTGCTCTAAAGTTTACAGTAATCATTTGCTAAAATGATAGAACACTAAGATGGGAAAACGTTTATTGAAGAAAAAGAAAAATTCTAATTCAAGAATATTTTAGTGGCTCAGTGGTTAAGAACACTAGCTGGTCTTCCAGAGGTCATGTGTTCAATTTCCAGCAACTGCATGATGGCTCACAAGTATCTATAATGAGATCTGGTACCTTCTTCTGAAGGGATACATTCAGACATCCAGACAGAACACACTATACATAATAAATAAATGTTTTAAAAAAATACCTTAGGCCAGGTAGTGGTGGCAATGCCTTTAATCCTACCACTCAGGAGGCAGAGGGAGACTGATCTCTGAGTTCAAGTCCAGCCAGTGAGTTCTAGGATAGCCAAGGCTACACAGGGAAACCCTGTCTCAAAAAACAAACCCCCCAAAACAAACAACTTAACAAAAGAATATCTTAAACTTTTTTTGTGTGTGTTCATATGTATTTGTTTTTGTTTTTTGAGACAGGGTTTCTTTGTATAGCCCTGGCTGGCCTGAATGCCTTTAATCGCAGCACTTAGGATGCAGAAGCAGGTGGATGGATCTCTGTGAGTTCAAGGCCAGTCTGGTGTACAGAGTGAATTCTAGGACAGCCAGAGCTACACAGAGAAACCTGCCTCAATAAATAAATAAATAAAATAAAAAATAAAAAAGGGAACTGAATTTTGACTTCAGATTAAGACAGAATTCTAATAATTTCTGAGGTAGCCCTGAATATACTTCTGCTGTCTTATACAGTGTATTAATTTAAGCAGTATCCTTAGTATTGAGAAATGTAATGGAGCTGGAGAGATGGGTCTGTGATTAAGAGCACTGGCTGCTCTTCCAGAGGACCAGGGTTCAATTTCCAGCCTCCACATGGCAGCTCACAACTGACTGTAACTCTAGTTCCAGGGGTCCGACACTCATTCTGGCTTCTGCTGGCATTGCACACAAGTGCTGCATAGACATGCCGGCAGGCAAAACACTCATACACATCAAACAAACAAACAAACAAGCAAACAAACAAACCTGATGACCTGAAAAACCACTGAATATGTTTTATTGAACATAAGTCATCGTCTCAAACAGCACTAATACTAAGATAAACACCCTAACACTGTGCAAATCCAAAAATATACTAATTTGATACTTAATATGCTGTTAAATCACTAGAAGTATTTGTCTTCCATAATTAGGCAATTATGTTTCATTCAGGGCAGAAGACTTTGTATATTCAGTAGAAAGGCCGCCATTTCATAGCACACAGTAGCGTTGAATCTGAGCCTGGCCATTTCCCTTAGCATTCACTGGTGCTGTGTGGTGGGACAGTATTCACAGTGTGAAGTGGGTGTGTGCTGGTTCAGAAGTGAAGTCACATGCTGCAACACGGGCCAGCTCACCAGAAGCAGCTCGGTTTCACGGCATATTTTACATTGAATTGGTTGTTATTGTTGCACTTATAGATACCCTTTACTACTGCCAATTTTTTATGCCTGCCCCACATTCAGGCTTTGTGGTTTTATGTGGAGTTGTGACCCTGTTTTAGGAACTGAGTCGTGCAGAATAGGTAGCTCATAGTGGGGTTAAAAAAAAGAACAAAACAAAACATGATTTTGAGAATAAATTATGCTAAGGTCTGAGCCTTTATCAGCTAAATCAACGCAAGAATGTTCCAAAGACCCTCTTTGTAAAATGAGAGTGCTAGATTTTACGAACTGTGCACTGCAGAATTATTTACATCTCAGAGATCTGTCGTGACCCAAATGGAAATAATAGAATCAGGCTAATGTTTTCACTGGTGTTGTTTTTCAGGGTTGGGAATCATACCCAGGGCCTCCTGGGTGCCAGGCTGGTTCTCTGCCACACCCCAGGCGAGGCTACTGTGGTTAAAGGTCTCTACAGTATTGTTTCTATCCTGGTTAAAGGGGTTGAATGTGTTAATTACTGTCAGCTGGTATGTTTAGTAAAATATAAAGTCCTACAGAAAGTTCAGTTACATTTCTTGTCTCAACAGGGTGACGGCCCTGCCCTCAGGAGTGCTACAGATCTATGATGCTGGCCCAGAGGATGCTGGGAATTACCGCTGTGTTGCGGCGACTACAGCTCATAAGCGGAAAAGCATGGAAGCCTCCCTAACCGTCATTCCAGGTTCTATGCTCGTGGTTTTTTTTTTTTTTTTTTTTGTATGTTTGTTTGTTCTCGCTCATTCTTTTTGGTTTTTTGAGACAGGGTTTCTTTGTATTGCTTTGGAGCCTGTCCTAGAACTAGCTCTGTAGACCAGGCTGACCTCGAACAGGGGAATAATGAAGCTATTCCAGAATTAATTATAATAGTTACTTAACTGAAAATTCTAAAAACCATTAAGTTAAACATCAAATGGGTGAAATGTAGACAGTAAGAGTTAGAAGACCTCAATAGCACTTAGGGAAAAAAAAATCTTATTAATAAGAAAGTAAGAAAAGAACGAGGGGCTGGAAAGATGGCTTTGTAAGAACACTCGTACAAATATGAGACCCCGAGTTCCTGTCCCAGCACCCACATAAAAGCTGTGTGCCCATAACCCTAGTACAGGACTAGAGACAATGGGGCCATCATAGCTTGGTGGCTGCCAGCCTAACCCCAGGTTCAGTGAGAGACCCTGCTACAGGGTACCTGAAGTATTTGTCTGGCCTCTGTACCCTAGCACACACACACCACACTCAAACACACCATACACCACACACCACACACCACAAACACACACACACACACACACACACACACACACAGAGGAGGCAAGGCAGGAGGAGACTGAGAAATGGGAGAAATGAATGGGAAACAAAGGTAAAATGGATGAGGCTGCACCCACCTGTAATCCTAGCACTCATGGAGTAGACACCAGGAGTTGGAAGTCATCCTTGAGTACATAGGCTATATGAGATCCTGCCTCAGAAAAATGAATGATTAAATGAAGAAAATGAGTAAGGACTGGTGTTTTAATGTTTCTTGTGGCTTATGTACTGTCTTTTCCTGCCCAAAGCTAATGAGTCGACACCCTTCTACATGCCAACCATTGTAGCCGGTCCCCAGAATGTAACTGTATCGCTGCATCAGACAGCTGTGCTAGAGTGTATGGCCACAGGCTATCCCAAACCCATCATTTCCTGGAGCCGGCTTGGTAAGTAGTCCTCCTTACTGGGGGTGGGAGGCAAGGGAGTCCTTCCCTCCAACTTTATTCTTTGTAGTGAAACTGATTAAAAAAAAATATCCATTTTATAGAAAAGTTACATTTGGCAGTTACATCTGAACAACTTCTTTTTCACTTTGTAATTTAAGGAATGCTTATGCTCCCAAGAAATTGCTACTTTGTAATGATTGATTTCACGGATAGTGATCATTTGGCATAGTTTCAGATGAAGTGTATTGTTTCAACTTCCATGTTCTCTTTGAAATAGATCACAAGTCCATTGATGTCTTCAATACTCGGGTACTTGGAAATGGCAATCTTATAATATCAGATGTCAAGCTACAGCATACTGGAGTGTATGTTTGTCGGGCCACCACCCCTGGCACTCGCAACTTCACAGTTGCTATGGCAACTTTAACTGTATTAGGTATGCATTCTTTCTACAATCAGGAGTAGCTTATGTTTCAGTATTTGTCATTTTAATTTCTCTCATTTTTTTTACAGATTTTTAAATTAATTTTTATTTAAATTAAAAATGATCTTATTTTACATACCAATCCCAGTTCCTTCTCCCTCCATCCTCCCATGCACCTCCCAATTCCATGGTTTTCTTTCTTAAGGTTTTGTTTTTAATTATGTGTGTGTATGTGTATAGGTATATGCATGTGAATGCAGTTCCCAAAAATGCCCGAAGAGGGCAACATAACCCTTGGTGCTGGAGTTATAGGAAGTTGTGAGCCGTCCATTGTGTGTGTTGGAAGAGAACTTAGGTTCTCTCTAAGAGCAGTAATTGCTCTCAACCCCTGAGGCATCCTCCAGCCCTACTTAACTTTCTTTTGACTTCAAGTTTGGCAGTAGTGATGGGGTGTTTGATAATAAGTGTAAAAGCCAGCAGTGAGTTTTGAGGAGGGGGGGAATGTTAAATTCCCGTGTTTAAATACAGCTGTATAATCATGTTGTGAAGTCACCATATTTGTGTGCATGGGTTCCATGTTCCTTCTTATGTAAGCTTCCCTTCTTGTCAGCACCCAGTTAATGATCTAAACTCACTCTCTTGATGGCTGTGTTCACGAGTGTCCTCTCATTGGGCTTAGTTAAGATGGGTTGTGGGTATTGTCAGTGTGTTCACAAATGGCTGAACATTAGAGAGAAGCACTCTCCTAGTTTTGCTTCTGTTGCTGTGATAAAATACCGCACCCTTACAAAAACTACTCAGAGGGCAAGGGGTAAATTTTAGCTCGCAGTTACTTCCAGATTACAGTCTGTTATTGTGGGGATGTCAAAGGAGCTTCAGACAGCTATTCACATGGCTGCTGTACTCAGGAGGCACTAAAATGGATGGATGCATGCTTGTGTTCACCTTTATTTCCTCATTCCATCCAGGTCATCCAGGCCTACACTAGTCTGTGTCTTACCACATCAGTAAGACAGCCCTCCACTGATACGTCCACAGGGCAACCCAATGTAAACAGTCCCTCCCCAAGACTCAGTTCCCAGGTTGTGTCAAGTTGACAGGGAAAGCTACCATCACAACCTGGCTGGTTGTAGGAGTGACTGTCAGACATCTTTACAAATGGGGCTTGTCTCGTTTTCGTAGTCTTCTTTCACTCTTTCTTAGCGTTCCTATTGAAGCCATGGGACCTTTTTTTCCTTTCTCCTTTCAAAATAGCTCCTCCTTCGTTTGTTGAATGGCCTGAAAGTTTAACAAGACCACGGGCTGGCACTGCACGGTTTGTGTGTCAGGCAGAGGGAACTCCCTCACCTAAAATGTCCTGGTTGAAAAACGGGAGAAGGATACATTCAAACGGCAGGATTAAAATGTACAACAGGTAAGCGATGCTACTTTTAAATAAAATAGTGCCTTCATTAGTTTTTGCATGAAATGGTTATAGTAGCATCAGATCACCACATAATCTTGTCACTTAAAACTACCTGTACGGAATTAAGGTTTATAGCATTAGTGCATCACCTATTCTTCTGTGTTTTATACTTGGATCAAGAGTGATGTGTTATAATGGGACATACACCAAACAGTCCCCCAGATGGCCACTCTAGACCAGTAGGCCACTAGCTAAGTGGCCACGCAATCATGGACTCCGGTGCCTTAGTTCCTTCTCCCAACAAGTGAAAAACTTGAGGCTGAAGTAAGTTACCTCCTAATAATCCCTCTAGAGTTCAAACTTAGTGGTACATTCCTTTAGTTCCAACACTTGGGAGACAGTGTCAGGTGGATATCTGTGAATTTGAGGTCAGCCTGGTCTACAGGGTGAGTTACAAGACAGCCAGAGCTACATAGTAAGAACCTGTCTTAAAAAATTACATATATAAACATATATGCATATATGTTTGTGTGTGTGTGTGTGTGTGTGTGTGTGTAGTAGTAGTAGTAGTAGTTGTTGTTGTTATAGTACTTATGGGGACCACCAGGCACCAAATAATGACATGGAAACTTATTAATTATGAAAGCTTAGCCTTAGCTTAGGCTTATTCCTAACTAGTTCTTATAACTTAAATTTACCCATAGTTTTAAATCTACTTTCTTCCATGAATTAGTTCATTACCTCATTTCTGTACTTCCTCTGGACCTAGGCAGAGTTCTCTGTCTAGAAATCTGGCCTATTCTCTCCTGCCTAGCTATTGGCTATTCAGGATTATATGACATCAATCATAGCAATATATTTTCATACAGTGTACAAATATCCCACAACGTGTGTGTGTGTGTGTGTGTGTGTGAGAGAGAGAGAGAGAGAGAGAGAGAGAGAGAGAGAGAGATTTTCTTGTAACAGTCTCATTTACCAAACCTTACATTTTTTTTTTTTGTTGGCCTGAACTTTATGTGTGTAGTGCAATATGAGTAAAATATAGACAAAAGAGTGGAGTAATATGCTTTCTTACCAAACACCATTTTTTAAAGAAACAGATTAAAACAAAAAAGAATTCAGCTACCATAAATACTGATGGAGACTGAGACTATAAATCAGAGTAATTTTAAGTAATTACTTAATTTAATTTAATTTTTAACTAAAACTGCTTGTTTTCAGTGTGTTTTCATATAAGGTAGGAGTTTGTTTAACAATAATAGCTTTTTAATGTTATTCTTAGGATTTTTTTGTTATGGATATACTTTTTTTCTTTCTTCAGCAAATTGGTAATTAATCAGATTATCCCGGAAGATGATGCTTTTTATCAGTGCATGGCCGAAAACAGCCAAGGATCTGCTCTGTCTCGAGCCAGACTGACCGTGGTTATGTCGGAGGATAGACCCAGTGCTCCATACAATGTTCATGCTGAAACCATGTCCAGCTCCGCCATCCTCCTAGCTTGGGAGAGGCCACTGTACAACTCAGACAAGGTCATCGCCTACTCTGTGCACTACATGAAAGCAGAAGGTAGGTGATGGCTTGGCAGCCGTCACTCAATGCTGTTTGCTGTCATGGGTTTGTTTTCATCGGTGAGAGATGTGGCTCACTTGGTAAAGTCTTCCCTGGCATGTATGAGGCCCTGGGTTTGATCCCCAGAACTACAGAAACCCTAGCTTCAGTCTGTAGTATCACCCAAATGTTATGAAAAAAAGTTGAACAAGACATTGTTGTTATATCTCATTTACTATCTGAAATTAAATATCAGGAGGTGGAGAGACAGTTGGGTGAGACAGGCACTTGCTGCTTTTGCCGAGGACCTGGGTTCAGTTCTCAGAATACACATTAGGTGCTTCCTACTGCCTATGACTCTGGCTGTCGGGGAATCCAACCCTCTTTTTGGCGTAGGCACAGAAAGAAAAATGTAGGCACTCATAAACACAAATACACATATACACATAAGTTTTAAAAAGTTAAATATTAGCCAGGTAGTGGTGGTGCACACTTTAATCTCAGCGCTCGGGAGGCAGAGGCAGGTGGATCTCTGTGAGTTCAAGGCCAGCCTGGTCTACAGAGTGTGTTCCAGGACAGGCAGGACTGTTACACAGAGAAACCCTGTCTTGAAAAACTCTCTTACAATTCTGATTTAGAATTACTGGTTCTGGTGGGATTAAGAAAAAAAAATACTTCTTATTTTTCATACAAAATTATTGCAGAAGCAGGAAAGCTGTTTAGAAATCCTAGTGCTTTCTCCATTGACTCAGGTTTGCACGTGCTAGTTTTATGCAGGAGTACTCAGTCTGGCTTTTAAGTAGCTTGCATTATGGACCAGGGTGAACCCTGAAAGATTAGTACTGGGTTAATGCTGCCTGCGTGGAAAGGTGGTTTGCCGTTTGGTTTTTACACTTTGAAGCAGTGTTTTGAAAAGGGATATTTTGAATGTAAATCAAGGGTCTTGGTAGCAAGAAGAATGTTCTGGTAAGGGCATGCTGGAGTGTGTTCATTCCCTCTGCTGACTCAGGAAGGTGAAAGGAATGCTAGCTTTGGCGGGGCTCACTCTTGTTCACTATTGTGCCTGCTTCATTAGAGCCCCTGCGTGGCGCTCAGCATTCTATTCAGGGGCAGAACAAGGCCTTTTAATTTGAACTCAAGGACTTTGTTTAGTAGGTCAGAAATTGTACCATGCATTTCCTAATTAACGAACCATTAGCTGGCGTGTTGTGAAACGCCTCTAATCTTGTCTAATTAAAATGCTATGAAGTTAATTCAGAAATGTGGGAAAACTCAGTGCTGGAATGTGCCTTCTGTTTTGTTTATAAATCCAGGCCGGGGAGAAGGGGCCCGGTGCTGGGAACAGTCTGATAGAGTTGACAAGCACAGCCGGCGCACTGTCGTGCACACGGTGGCTGGCGGCTGTGCCTCCCTTCTCCAGGTCTGCGCCACGGGGATTAAGCCCACACAGACAGATCCCCTTCTGTACCTTGCCTTGCAGATTTACTAAGAATCCCTGAGCGTTTGTTGCCCTCTTTAAAAAACTGAACGCTCACCATGGGACACTCTTCCATTTCACTTTCAGTATTTAAAAAAGAAGAAAGACCCGTGTTAGCCCATGTAGTGTGTTCTCTAGGGACAGAATGAGAGAGAGCCTCTGCAGACCAACTTTTCATTCGGTTTGTTTTTGTAAAAAGCTGAGTCTGTGCATTTCCCACCAGCTCTCTGTTTATGTTCAACAGAAGGCCTGAGTTTAAGCGAGGACATTTGCTTGCAGTGGTACAGTACTCTGTTGTGCTGAGCTCTCCTCGACCACTACTCCTTACAGCCCCTCCTGTTTTGACTAGATGGTAAATGACCTTAGAGAAGATGGAGTCTTTTAGGAAATGTTCCAACCAGTAGTTTGTAGACAAAGAACTTTAGGCAAGTAAGACCTTTCTGTGCACTGCAGGGTTTTATGTGCAGGTACATAGAAGGCAAGAGATTTAACCATGAGGGGAAATGACCTTGCTACTTTTGAATATGTCTTGTTTATTTGTTTGTTTTGGTTTTTTGAAACAGGGTTTCTCTGTGTAGCTCTGGCTGTCCTGGAACTTGCTTTGTAGACCAGGCTGGTCTTGAGCGCACAGAGATCCGCCTGCCTTTCTCTGTCTCCCGAGTGCTGGGACTAAAGGTGTGCATCACAACTGCCCAACTGAATAGTTGTCATTTTTAAACATGAATACTTTGCTCTAGGTTTAAATAATGAGGAGTATCAAGTGGTCCTTGGAAATGATACAACTCATTACATCATCGATGACCTAGAGCCTGCCAGCAGTTACACTTTCTACATCGTGGCATACATGCCAATGGGAGCCAGCCAGATGTCAGACCACGTGACACAGAACACTCTAGAAGATGGTAAGAAGACACAGTTCTGGGTTTTCAAGTGTGAACATTTGTAGATGGGGGCACTTTCAGGGAGTTAATCTGCTGGGTGAAATGAAAACAGTTACATTAAGCCGCAGGCCAGCTGCTCTCCCTGGTCTCACTCCTGCTTTTTGTCATAACGTGATAAAGGATGCTTAAAAAGATTTTCTTTTCCAAACTTGGCTGTAACTCCAGTTCCAGGGGATCTGATGCCCTCTCCTGACTCTCTGGGCAGTGCGTGCATAGAGTACACAAATTTACATACCAGCAAAAATTCATAAACTCTTTTAAGAAGGTAGTACACGCTTTTCAGAAAATAAGATGAGATTTTTGTAGGTAAGAGCCCCTCTGCACAGGCTGTTTGTCTTCCCCAGCAGTAGTTTACTTCTGTAAAGGGGCCTTCGAGAATCTGGCAAGCCTGGACTTTCCACACTTGACCCTTGTCATACCCTGCCATACAGCATAAGGCTCACACACAAACACATAATAATTAAAAAAAATACCCCCAAAAAACTAATAAAGTTCATGTACCCCCCCTTTTATTTTATTTATTTATTTATTTATTTATTATTTTTTTTTGTGTGTGTGTGTGTGTTTTGTTTTTCCACATAGGGTTTCTGTGTAGATTTGTAGACCAGGCTGGCCTTGTACTCTCAGAGATCTGCCTGCCTCTGCCTGCTTAATGCTGGGATTAAAGGCCTGCACCACCTCCACTCAGCTCATGTTCATTTTTTATGTGACTCTTAGACATCGAAAACTTCTCGGTTGCAATTCTGGATCCTGGGCGTCCTTGTCATGTGACACACTTTCCTTTGCGTCTAAGGGATTTTGGTAGACTTAAGTTATATATTTGTTTCATTTTTTGCGGCTGGCAAATAAGCTCATCTTCATCTTGGGTAATCACCTGACAATCACAGCAAACTGATGGCCATACTTTGATGGTACCCTCATTGTATTACCTTCCTTCTGGCCGGAAGTCAACTTCACTGAGACCCTCTGCGCCAGCGTCTCCACTCCACTCAGTACGACCGTGCTGAGTAGCATCTTGATTGTAAATTTTATGAACAACCTATTTTCTCATTTCACTAGTGCCCCTAAGACCTCCCGAAATTAGCTTGACCAGCCGAAGTCCCACCGACATTCTCGTCTCCTGGCTGCCCATCCCGGCCAAGTACCGGCGGGGCCAAGTGGTGCTGTATCGGCTGTCCTTCCGCCTGAGCACTGAGAATTCCATCCAAGTCGTGGAGCTCCCGGGGACTGCGCATGAGCACCTCCTGGAAGGTCTGAGGCCTGACAGTGTCTATCTGGTCCGGATTACTGCTGCCACCCGCGTGGGGCTGGGCGAGTCATCGGTGTGGACCTCACACAGGACGCCCAAAGCCACGAGCTTGAAAGGTAAACACCTCCCAAGGAATTTTCAGGAAGAGAAATAGTGTTTTACTATTGAATTAGAATTTTCCACTCTTAGTTATATGTAATCTGTCTTATTTTCTATTTGCTATGTATGGGTGTTTTGCCATGCATGTCTGTGTACACTGTGTGCAGTGCTCATAGAGGCTAAAAGAAGGATCCTGGGGCTGGGTAACAGATGCCTGTGAGCTGCCATGTGGGTGCTGGGAATTGAACCCTGGTCCTCTGGAAAGACAAGCTGTACTCTTAACTGTTGAATAATCTCTCCATTCCATATTTTTTCCATCCTGTATTTTACATTTTTGTTTCACATATGGGAATATTACATAGATCATGAACTTAATTGGTAAAACCTTGACCTTCCCTTGGGACTGGTGCCATTGCTGGGTTGGTAGGGTCTTTTCCTAACATGCACAAAACCCTGGGTTCAACACCTAGGACTCTTTAAACCTGGTCTAGTGGCTCACACCTGATGTCCCATTATCCCAGCACTAGGGGGAGGTGGAGGCAGGGGGATCGGAAGTTCATGGTTGACTGTGGTTATTGAGTCTAACATGACTGGTCTGTTTTTATTTGACTGGAAATACTCTACAGTAAAAATTAGATTACATAATTGACTTCTTTTTTTTAAATTACATATACAAATATAGATACTATCTTGTTATTTACATGTCTTAGACATTTAGGTAGTGTATTTTAAGTTCTATTTCTAAGCTAAACATCATTGTGAAAATTGTAAATGTGGTGTGTGTGTGTGTGTGTGCATGCGTGCATGCACGTGAAATCACATGTGTGGAAAGTAGAGAACTTGAGGGAGTTGGTCTCTTCTTCCACTTTGTTGGACCCGGGGATCAAACTCAGTTCATCAGATCTGACAGCAAGCTCCTTTCCCCACTGAGCCGTCCTGCTGGCTTGTCACTGTGAACATTTGGACGTTGGGTCAAAGTGTGGTGGTTGGACTTTGTAACATTGGCTTGAAGCTGAGAGGTGTGTGTTGCCCTCTGGCTTCCTGTGGACTGTGGGTTGTTGACACAGCACTGTCTCTTTTAGCCCCTAAGTCCCCTGAACTTCATTTGGAACCCTTGAACTGTACTACCATCTCCGTGAGGTGGCTGCAAGACACCGAGGACCCAGCCGCCATTCAGGGCTACAAGCTGTTTTATAAAGAGGAAGGGCAGCAGGAGAATGGACCTATTTTCCTAGACACCGGTGACCTGCTGTATACACTAAGTGGCTTGGGTGAGTGTGTCTGCATTGTGCAAATCCTTTATCCTTCTGCTTCGGCCGACTGGGGATAGGGTTGTTGGATGGAGGAGAACTGATTGCGAAGAGACAATGTCTCTGTGTCCTTACACAGTTGTTCTCCTTTCCTCCTGCTCTGGGAGTCTGTTTCTCTCTTTAAAGATGTCTGTTGATTCAGGGAGATCCCGATGGGTATTGGATGGACGTGGGAGAGGAATGTAGGGACCAGCAAGATGGCTTAGTGGGCAAAAGCACTTGCTGTGCAAGCCTGATGGCCTGAGCTCAGTCCCCTGATGTCAGGGTGGAAGGAGGGAATTATCCTCTGTCCTCTGTCCGCGTGCATGCTGACGTGTGGATACTTACACTCATGATAAACACATCTGTTCACACACACATACGATAAAGAGTAAGACTGTCGAGTGAAGACTTGGTAAAATGATTGGATGATAGTAAGTACACTTAACTTAGAATTTGGCCGATTGCTATTCTTTTATGAAACAATTTACGTAAGTGGTATATAATAATGCCCTTACCTTGTCCCACAGGACTGTACATATTTATTCCATGGTCTCAGATGCATTGGGGATAAAACACGCACCCCTGTTGTTGGCTTCATCTGTGTTCTCAGAGACACTGGCTTGTCCTTATTTTCTTTATGGGAGAAAAGAACTCCACAATGTAATCGTGTTTAGCAAGTTATGAAATTGGGTTGGGGATGTGACCCAGTACTAGCCTAACATGCATGAAGACAAGGTTTAATTCATATCTCTGTGTGAGAGAGAAAGAGAAGGAAGGAGGGAGAGACACTGAGACAGAGACACTGGGAGATCAACAGAGACCTGCTGGACTGTTGTGGCATCTTATGCACACAGTAGGAGTTTATGATGCACTGTGGCTTTCCTTCTAGAATAGCCTTTGGAGATGATGTAAGGAGAAAGGCCAGTGGTCTTAGTGTGGAAAATCACCATTTCCATCCCTGGGTCAACAGGACATGCTGTGAGCCTGTCCCTGGATGCAGGAGCCCAGAAATCTATCCCATGATCCCTTGCTGTAGTTTTCCAGATGGTGTTTTGCTTGTAATCTTATTATTTGGTTTTTAATTTAATCTGCATTCAGTTAAATAAATTTACTGTCGATCTCTGTCATGAAGCTTGTAAATGATGAGCAGTGACATATGGTCCAGGTCGAGCTTCTTTAATCCACTGGTTACGATGAGGTTAGCCCAGCCTCTAGGGCCCCCGAGCCTTCTATGTTTATGTCTCCCTGTGGATTCTCGGGGTGCCCTCATTGTTGACGAGAGGGAGGGGACTTGTTGTTTATATCCAGTTGGAAACAGGCCGTGAAGGATTGAAAAGCTGTAGATCAGGGCTGGAGATGGCCCAGTGGTTAAGAGCATATACTGGTATAGCAGAAGACCAGAATCTGGTTCCCTGCATCTGTATGGCAGCTCACACCTACCTGTAGCTGCCACCCCAGGGGGCCATCTGCACTCACACATAGATGGTCCTGCCGGCACATAAATCAAAATAATTTTTAGGGGCTTAGAGGGCTGGCTCAGCCCTCTAAGTTAAGAGCTCTTGCCACTGTTCCAGAGGACACAAGAACTCACATGGCAGCTCACAACCATTTGTGACTCTAGTCCCAGGGGATCTGACAACCTCTTCTGGTCTCCAAGGGCACCAGGCATACTCATAGCACATAGATACATGCAGGAAGGGAAAAACACTCATATGTATAAAATGAGTAAATCTTCAAAAATATACAAGTACAAATACAATCAAACTCAGAAACTTGATTAAAGAAGTTTAAATATGTAGGAGAGACAAACATATTCTTCAACATGCTTCTTGGGCATACATTCCAGCTAGTTTACCTTAAACATTTGAATACTTGGTTAGGAAATAGAATGAGCTCTGCTCTTGCAAGAAACTCAGAAATGTTTCATTAGACTTTGGCAGCAAGTGGGGCATGGTGGCACTAAGCCCAGTACTCTGGAGGGGGTGCGAGGAGGGTGGGGACTTTAAGATCATTTTCAGCTGCTATGTAACAAGTTCAAGGGCAGCCTGTCTCAGAAAAGCAAAACAAAACCACCAGTAGGGAAAAGCAACTCTTTAAAGTCTTGTTAAGGCGTATTTTTATTATTATTATTTTTACCATATGTATGTGTCTGTGTGTGGGATATTTGTATGGGATTGCAGGTGCCCTCTGAGGCTGGAAGTAGTATGAGCTCTCCTGGAGGTGGGTGTGAGTTGCCAGGGTGGGTAGCGAGAGCTCAGGTCCTCTGGAAGAGCAGTGTATGCTCTTAACTGCTGAGCCTCCCCACCAGCCCCAATTAGTTAACATTTAAATTTTTTTCTAGAGGTGCCTATACATACATCTGTGAATGGAATAAATAAATAAGGAATAAATAAGGAAAAGACTCTTATTACAAAAGTGCTTCTTCATTCATTTGGAGAGAGAGAGAGGAAGGGAGGTAGGCTCACGGATATCCCCCCCCCCCCAACTCTTATGTTCTCCAAATAATAGCTTTTAAAACTATAAACTATTATTTCCTCTTATGTTTTAAAAATCAGTTACACGGGCCTGGGAAGACAGCCTGATGGTAACCTGAGTTTGAATGCCCAGAACCCATGCCAAGCTGGACACAGTATCATGCAGCTGTAGTCCTAGTGTGCCTACGAGGAGATGAGAGACAGGAGACTGTCAGGAGCTCAGGGACAGCTAGCCTGTGTGTGTGCCAGGCTGGGGGTGTGGGGGCAGGGACAGTGATAACAGATCCTGTGCCAAGCAAAGTGGCAGTGGGTAGTACTGACACATACACATGGCATTTGCACACGCGCGTGCGCGCGCACACACACACACCTTTAAAAAGTCAATCATATATACTGTTTTTGTGTAACATGTTATCTATGCCTTTTGAAGTAGCTCCATTTAAAATCACTTTAGTGTGGGGAAGTGTATGTGTTCACTCATGTACTTATATACACACGTGTGGACGCTAGAGGTCAATGTCACTTGCCTTCCTTTCGCTCTCCACCTTGCTTTTTGGAAACAAGTTCACTCGCTGAACATGGAGCTCACCAATCTAGAGAAACCAAGAGCTCAGCAAGCCCCAGGGTTAGGGTGAGATTACATAGATTGTGTTTTTAAGTATTGTGCTACTGGATCCAAACAGAGACTCTCAAGCTGGTGAGGCAAGCATGCTACTGACCATCTCTCTAGGCCTGTAAAACTACATTAAACACATCAAGTAGAACACCATTTTGGGATAGGGGACATGCTGTATCAAGTTAAGTAGCTCAGCGGTTTCCTGATTGTGGGATTATCGTGAGTGACTGGTTTGCCTGAGCTCATGGTAACGAGGCCTCTGTGGCTGCAGGGGCTGCCTTGCTAGGCATCAGGTTCAGGACCTTCTGCATCTGCTAGTAGCAATCTGAGTGGCTGGTGAGGATGCAGTTGTGTGTGCTCAGTTGTGTTACTGTTCAGCTGTTGAGCCGACTGTCTTCCAGGTGCCTTCTAACCTGAGATCCTGATTCTAATCTTTTTTATTAAGTTCCCACCGAGGCCTGGCCAGGCTTTTGGCAGGCAAGTGTTAAGATGTGGGAAGGGCCAGGGTGTTCTATGGAGGGGACAGCTGACCATCTGGGGCCATTTTTAGCCAGAGCATCTGGCAGTGGCTGCCTGTTTAACAGAGAGTGATGTATCCAGAGGGCAGTAGGTTAAGGGCACCCTGTTTGGGCCTCGCCTGGTGAATGCAGGCTTTCAGAGTCATTGCCTGGGAAGGATGCTCAGAGTGGAGTCAGCTTTGCTAAGTGGGCTTGGAAATGAATTCACACGCTTTTGCTTGCTGATCGAGTGTCAGTTTTGTATAACAAACTGCTTTCTCAAAATTTCATTTTCACACTAACCCCCTCTGGTGCCTATAGAAACCCCACCCCAACCTTGCCATTTCCATTTTTGGTAATTAAGTTTTTAGTTTAAAGTGTGCTATTGGGATAAGATCTCCCTAGAAATATGCACAAGTCTTTGTTCTAAAAAACAGAAGAGCAAATTAATTTAAATTTTTTAAGTTAATTTAAGTGCTTAAAAATTTTTTTAAAAATGACCAAAAGATGTGAGGGGTCCGATTTTTGCTTAAAACAGAAAGGATGAAACCATATGATATTTAATTGGCTGGCTTGTCCAATGTTCCTCCACACATCCGGTTAGCTAAATTTAATTGGTGTTATTAGTAAAATTAGATCATTTTACTCTAATATCTCAAAGCTGGGTCCCTTAAGATGTGGAGTTAAAGAAATTCTCATGCCTTTGATAGTAAAATACATAATAGTATATATACATATATATAATATGTATATGTATAGTATAAATAGCATATATCTATATCTATATGTAGTGTAATGGCATATAATGTATAACAGTTTAATATAGTACATAATAGCTTTATATGTCCAGTCCCCAGCATTTAGTAATAAAGTGTGATATGAATTTCAGTTGAGCAGCAGAAATACTTTAGTGTTTCTAGTTTGTTCAGGTTTAACTCTAAAATGCAGTTTATTTCCTGGGATCTGGCTTTTGTGGGGAGAGGAAAACACATCAGTCTTGTGACTTAGGCATTTGTAGGAGTCGTTGTGAGTGTTTTGCTGAGGATTTACTAATAATTTTTCCTTGCCTCACTGAGTGTTCACCTGAGTTACAAGGTAAATGTTTGCAATGTTTATCATACAATAAACAAAATATTATTAAGCCATCTATGTCCCCAATAGTAGGTTGAAAAAAAATTCCTCTTTTTTTTCTTTCTTTCTTTTTTTTTTTTTTTTTTTTTTTTTTTTTTTGTTCTTTAGAAAAATAAATTTTACATTTGTTTTTGTTTTGAATGTGTGCGGGGGTATGCACATGTCATGGTGTGCCTGTGGTGACCAGAGGACAAAGTCAATTCTTTTCCCGAACTTGTGGGCCCTGGGATCAAACTTAGCTTGTCGATCTTGGCAGCAAGTGCCTTCATCTGCTAGGCCATCACAGCAGCCAAAAAAGAGGCTTCTAGTCCTGATGTTAG